CCATTTTAAGTCAGGCTAACCATAGATTTCCTACAAGTCCCTTAATAGTACATTGGCCAAAATCAGAAATATATAGTAGCGCTTTGACTTTTTTTTTTAACCTCTTCCAGGGCCATGGCCCTTAGCAGCTCCTACCACTTTTGTTGTTTGTGATTGTTATTGTTTTTATTTGATTAAGTAGAAATTCCCTCTCTGAGGGGAATGCCCTAATGCGGTCATTCTTACTATAGCGTTAATGGCAGGTGTGCTACTGTAGCCACCAAATTTTCAGGGACCTGGATCTATGAGGTTCTTTCCAAAGGTGGGGTTAACAGATGGAAGGCGGGAGGCTACACAGCAGCCCTGGACACAGTGGAGAATTCCCACTCTGGAGTTGCAGAATGAGGCAGAGGCTGGGGGTGGCCGGGGCCAGGAGGCGAGTGGGGTTCCCAGCTCCAGAGTCATTGCTCAGTTCCCCAGAGACAGGGCCCTTTCCGACTGTGGTGCCTTCTCTCCATAGCCTCCTGCCTGGGGGTCTTCTCCCTTCAGAACCATGACAGCACCAGCTGGCCCTGGGGGCAGCCTGGCGGGAGGCAGCCCCCTTAATGGGGTGTCGCACAGACAGCCTCAGGGGCCCTTGCCTGACCGGGGACTGACTGCCTGGTTGCCGGAGGGCCTGCTGTGCCCAAGCCCGGGCCTGTGGGCTGTCCTTGCTAGGCTGGCCCTCTGAGGGACAGGGGAATAGAGGAGGGACCGGAGGTCACATGCTTGTGTCCCAGCCCCTGGGGAGCATGCGAGGCTGGGGACTGGACAAGGGGAGGGAGTGCTGTGTGATTGCTTGTATTTTCCAGGCTGCAGCTCCAAATGTCAAAGGAGGGAGGGAGGTGGTGAGGGCAGCCAGGAGGGAATTACGGGCCAGTGGTCCGGCATGAAGCTTGACCTTTGGCCTGGGCAAGGGACAGAGAGCACCTAGGAGCTCCCCGGGCTGCACCGCTCACGTGCCTCTCATACCACTGTCTCGGAGCGGGTCCTGTGTTCTCGTTCCACCGCTGACCAGATGAGTGCCTGCCCGGTGGCAGGCCGCTGCCCTCTCGGACCTGCCAGGCACAGACCAACGCCTCCTCGCTGCCTTCCTGTCTGGGTGGGGCAGGGCAGGCCCAGGTGAGCTGCGAGCGGGGACAGGACTAAGGACGGAAATAACCAGAGCAGCAATCGTAACCAAGATTGTTCCTAGAGTCCTGACTCTGAGCCAGACCCTCTGTTAGTTGACAGGACACAAGACTCTCTAACTCTTTGTTTAAATATGAAACTTGGCAGAGGTGTGGGTTTTATTTTTTTACCTTCAGACATGTGGGTGAAGAGGGAAGCTCTGGCGAAGTTCTTCTGGCTTAACAAAGAAAACTCATAAGTAACTTCCTTGGAGGAAACAGAGATGTCTGCTGACATATTAATATACCACAGCAGCAAATTATTAAGCAAGACAGCCAGCCAGCATTGCAGACTGCTTTGGGATTAAAGATGACTTTCTGAACTATACGAATCACCCCTGAAGTCCGTGGGTCTTAAAAGACTCCTTTGTCAGAAGTAACATTTAGGAGGACAGTTTCACAAGTGATTTTGCTTTTCCCTGGCTATGACTGCAGAAAAGTGAAACATTTCCTCCTCCTTATCTTGAGAAGTTCGAAAGGTCTGAAGCTTTCAAGGGCCCGCCAGTTAAGAAAGAGTGTTTAAAAAGTAGTCTGGAGGAGCTCGAAACTTGTCATTTGTAATGGAAAAGGGCAGAAGAGGAGTAAGGCGCATATGTGGTATTGCTGCCCACAGCGGGTATTTTTTTAATTGAACCCTCACAAACCATGGGATAGTAGTATTCCCAGCCCGCACAGGAGGAAACTGAGGCTCAGTGAAGTCCACAACTTGCCCAAGGTCACACATGAGGAGGTCAAGGGCTGAGCTTATGAGGATGGGGACTGTGGCTTCTATGGGATGAGCTTGGGCTCTGGTGTCAGAGAAGCTCAGATTCCACTATGACCTCTGCTGAGCAGATGTATGAGTTTACTCTTGCTGTTGTAACAAATTAGCCACAAAGTCAGTGGCTGAAAACAACACAAATGCATTATCTACTCTTGTGCAGGTCAGAAACTCAAAAGGGGATTCACTGGGCTAAGATCAAGGTGTCCTTTTGGACAGGGAAAATCTATTCCTTTGCCTTTTCCAGCTTCTAGAAGCTGCCTGTCTTCCTTGGCCTTTGGCCCCTTTCCCCATCTTCAGAGTCCGTAGGCTGGCCTCTTTTAATCTCTGACTCTGATAGTCTCACCTCCCTCTTACACTTATAGGAACATTTTGGATTACATTAGGTCCGCCTGGATAATCCAAAATCTCCCCATCTCAAGTTCCTTTAGTTAATCACCCCTGCAAAGCCCTTTGCCAGGTAAGGCAATGTACAATCACAGGTTCCAGGAGTTAGGATGTGGGTAACTTTGGTGGGGTTCTCTACTCTGCCTACCACAGTAGTCTTGACAAGGGGCCTGACCTTTGGGACAGCAGACGTCCCTTTCTCAGGAGGTCTGGAGGAGAAGAAAATGAGGAGGGTTGGGTTGCCAGCCATAGAAAGTGACTGAGGTTGACACCAGGAAGAGACAAGCTGTCCTGGAGGCTGATGACACAGCGAGGAACACGTGGTCTATGAGAACTGTGCTTCTCGCAGACAGGCAGTGCCTGGGAGACGCCGCTTGCTCAGGAAGACTCTGTCCTCATGGTCACTGGCACCTCCTGAAGATGTGGGCCAGGACTCAGCATCTGACAGATCAGGGTCTAAATCCCAGCTCTGCCTCCTCCCAGCAGCTTGAGGGTGGTTATGGCTGGGGAGGGGAGCAGGGGGGGCCAGGAAGAGAGGAAACAAATACGTTGAGTTTGCACGTGACCTCATTTCTTCTGCCTCTGTTTTGCAGATGTGGAAAAAACAGCTCAGAGAGATCAAGCATCTTGTCTGAGATCACACAGCAGCTGTGGCATTTCTTACCCACCAGGATTCCTAAACCAGTGATGCCCATCAGTGGCTGTTTGCCACATCTGCCTGCCTCCCGGCCTGCAGCTGCCTTGATGTTTTTCTTTAAATCAAGTTATGTTTTTTCTTAACTTAAATGTATCTGTTTTAAAATGATACTTTATATTACTCCCATAAACGGGAAATCATGGAATTTATGAGCTGGTTATGTGTATTTTTATAATGCACATTAAAATGAATCTATCATCATAAAAATGAAGTGCTCATCTGTATACCACATAAAATGGTTCTCGTATACCAGCAGTGGGTTTTGGTTTTCTCTTTGGGAATTGGCTCCAAACCTGCACCAGTTTCACCAGATCATTACACTGTCAATGGCGGTCATTTATTATGGTATTACATTTCCAAATGGCTTCCTACCACAATTAAATCCAGACTCTTCAGCACAGCCTCAGGGCCCTACTGGCCCCGCTTCCCTCATCTCCAGTCACTTTGGTTCTGGTGCTCTTGAGCAAAGTAGAAATTATCTTGCTGTGTTGGCTGTCCAGCCACAAGATGCCAGGATTTGAACCTAGGCCGTGGGCCTTTGAGCCCAAGTGCTTAACCATTACACTACACCAGCTTTCTACAATGTCTGGTCTCAGCAAAGCCTATGATGAAAAATAAGCAGGTTTGGAAATGAAGCAGGGAAAGGATTGGCTGGGTCACCCAGGAGCCTCATGAGGGCAGAGCCTCCTTGATCTCACGGGCAAACTGAGAAAGTTTTGATTAAGTCCACCAGACAAGTTTTATGGGTCCAATAGAGCAACTCCTGTCAAGGAGGAGGAGGAGGAGGAGGAGCTTAGAGACCTTTTATAATCTCCCCTGGGGCAGAAATGATGGGTGGCCAAAGTGGCCGATCCCAACTCTTGAGCTCATCTGTGAGTGGGATTTCAGAGCAGGTCCTGACCTGTTCTCCACTGGAAGCTTTACTTTGCAAGTGAACTCAGCATCTGGATAGAGCAGACTTCCTACAGGAATTTTGCAAGGGTCTCATATTCCCTTCCCTTATTGCAATATAGATAATTTATCATCTGACAGGGAGTATAGATCCCTGTGTTGCTTGCCTAATAGTCAGGGTTTATTAATTCCAATTTTTCCCAAGAATGAGGTGAAAAAAATCCCTGAATGCATGTGAGCATCGGGGGACTGGAGGTCCATGAAGTGCAGTTTTACTGAGGGCTTCCCAAACTGCTGTGAAGCATTAATGACCCAGAGGTAGGGAGAGCCTAGATCAGGGCCTGACACACAGTTGATAGATTTGTTTAGTAATTATTCTTCTGTTCTGGTTTGGGCAGAGCTCAGGAAGAACATGCTTCTCTCTGAGGTTAGAGGGGGAGTGAAGGGAACACCAGCTCCATGGGGCAGCCTGGAGTACCAGCCGGCCCTGGTCCAAATCTCTGTTCCCCACATCCTACCTGTGTGACTTTGGAAAAATCGCTTCCTGTCTCTGTGTCCCGGGTTCTCCATTTGTAAAATGGGGGTAATGATAGTACCTCCCTCAAAGGGCTGAGGTGAGGATTTAAGGATTTAATACAGGAGCACGCTTAGAACAGGTAGGAATTAGTAGATAATAGTTATTTTTGCAGCCTGCCAGACCTGGGTTTGAATCCTACCACCAGCACTAACTTCTGTGTGATTTTGGGCAAATGCCTTGATCTTTCTGGGTCTCTGTTTCTCTCTCTGGAAGTGGGTTTGGTAGCAATCCCTGCTCCCAAGGGTGGTGGTGAGCATCCAGAAACTGCGTAAACCCCAGCCCTGGCACACGGGAGGTAGGTGCTGACGGTGCCCCGTGCATGGGTCAGCGCTCCCCGGGAAGCACCTCTGGAAGTGGCAGAGGCCAGCTGTGGTGCTCCCAGGCAGGCTGTGGCCCTTCCCAGCGGCCCCGCCCTGCTGGTGACGACCTTGCCCCTGCCTGTCTGAGGGACAGGAAGGAAGTGAGAAGGGCAGCTTCCCCTTTTCTGTCCTGCTCCAGGAGCTGAGCTTATTCCCCCTCAGTGTCTCGGAGGAGGGGACAGCAGCACCATGGCCCCCAGTATGGCCATCCGCCAGACTTGCTGCTGCTTCAACGTCCGCATCGCCACCACCGCCCTGGCTATCTACCATGTGGTGAGTGGGGGGCGGGCCCAGGGAGACCGTGTGTGCGTGTGAGGGTGTGAGAGAGTGGCCCTGATCTACTGAGCCCCCTCCAACTAGTGGCCACTGCTCAGTCTCCTGCTCTGTCTACTGGGGGGAAAGGGACCCTGTGGCAGCCTCCTGGGTGGGGCAGGCAGAGTGGAATTAGGGGCCCTTGTTGCAAGAGAACATAACTCACATTCTCTCTGAAGCTCAGTTTCTGCCTCTGTAAAATGGGACAAAATAGCAGCTCCAAGTCAACTTGATGCAAATGGAACCCCAGAAGGGAAAGTGCTTTGGGAGCCAGGAATCTTGGGAGAAACGGGGGCTGGGACGCTGCCAGGATACGGGGCCAGGTCGCAGGCCCAGCTCCAGCTCTTCCTCACCGTGCAGCCTGGGCTCACAAGAGGGAATCACCCTTTGGGCTTCCAACGGGAGGGAGGACGGAGTCCTCCTCGTTTACAGTGTGGGCGAACCACTGCCTTGTCCCCACCAAGAAAGCCTGAGGCTTTGTGCTAGTGAACAGGCGGGTTGCCTGGCTCAGCCTCTTGTGGGGCAACCCAAGGGGGAAGAGGCCCCGGGGTTCCACTTTGGAGGCTGGTGTGTACCTCCCGGGTGTGGAGCCTTGACTCTGGGTGAGTCACGGTCTCCCTGCCCCCTGGGGCCAGAGGTCGTCCCATCTCAGTGGCAGAAGGTCAGGGTCTCTGTTCTGTCCTTCCAGGCCCCCCTCCCCCACCCCACAACTCAAGCCATACCCCCAGGCCCTGGCGCCTTCCTCCCATGGTGGCTCATGGGCTGTGGTTAACATTTCTCTCATGGGCTGGGAAGGGCTTCCTCAAAATGAGCCTGAACCCGCATGCTGCGGTGGGCTGCTGTGGAGGCTTAGACCTGGCTACATCTGCTTCCTGTCCCAGGCTGGGCGGACAGGGCTGCGGCGAGGGCTCAGCCTCCTGGAGGGGTGTTGCTGCTCCGTGCACACCGCCTCGATCCAGACCCGTGTGCAAATCCTGGCCTCACCACTACTAGCTGCGCAGCCTTGGGCTACTGGCTTAACCTCTTTGAATCTTAGTTTCCTCCTTTAGTAAACAGGCATCACGGCAACCTCTGAGAGGCTGGCTGAGAGGATCAAGGGCGCTGATATCTGCAAGACAGTGCCTGACACCTAGCTGAGTGCCTTCTTATTAGCAGTGCATCAGACATGGAGCTTGCTGCCAGCACACCCAGAATCAAACTGTCAGACCCCAGGACGCTGGTTTTGGGAGGAGCTCAGAGGTTGCCCTGCCTGGCTTGTGCCAATGCAAGAGTGATGCTGAGAGAAGCAAATGGGCATTTTGACTGTTCCCACACCACATCCTTAAGGCTCCTTTAAGCTCTGAGATTGTGCAACATTCTCAGAAGACCAGTGTGGTGCTCAGAGGAGGCCCCGTGGGAAGCAGGGCCCCAGATCCTTAGGCGTGTGCCACCACTAACTGGCTGTGTGACCTTGGACAAGCTTCTCTCTTGGGCCTCAGTTTCCATTTATAAAATGAAGGGTGTGTCGGGGGTATGGACTGGCTTGGAGGTCTCAAACTCCAGTGCCTCCAGGGGCCAGACAGTGAGTGAGGATAGTGAGGGGGGGCAGCTGGACCCGCAGCGACCTGGGGAGTCCACGCCGGGTCCACTCTGGCAGCTGCCTCTGTTTCCGCTGATTGTTGCTAAGAAGGAATGTGGGCCCTTGCAGCAGCTCTTCGGGTGTTTAGAGAAGCAGGGAACATGGGCTTTGATGTTTTCAGGCTGGTGACTGGTTCAAAGTTAAAAAGAAAATCCCCGTGTAGGCCATGCTGAATCCGTTTGCAGGCTACCTGGGCCAGGAGGCTGCCCCACGAACTCAAGACTCTGTGACTCTCAAGGTTTCTTCTTGATCACACCGTCTGAGGTCCTCACCTGTACATGATATCAGTGACATGACATATAATATTAAGTGACATCAGTGCCCGTCCACAGAGCTGGAGAATCTGTGGGGAAGATCAGGGAAGACTTCTTGGAGGTGGTGCCATTGGCAGAGGCATAGAGTTGGGTTGCGGGGAGTACGGATGAGGGAGGAATGTGGAGGCTGAAGGACAGTGGCTTGTGCAGGTGACACTATACAGACCAACCTGGAGGCTTCAGGTTGGGGAGCAGGAGGTGGTAGGGGCTTGGAGTGACAAGCAAAAGAGCCTGGACCTTCACCGTTGATATTTTGGGCTGGAGAATTCTTGGTTGTGGGGACTGAACTGTACGCTGTAAGGTGTTCAGCAGCATCCATGGCCACGCTCCGCAAGACACCAGTAGCCGCCCCCAGTTGCGGTAGCCCAGGATATTTCCAAACATTGCCTGGTGTCCCCTGGGGGCAAAACTGCTCTCAGTTGAGAAACACTGTCTAATGGGAGTCACGGGGGGCCTGTTCTAGAGGAAAAGGCATGAGAAGAGAGGAGAAGCCCGGAAGCTGTGCAGCTGGCCCAGGCAGTCCTCTGAGGGTTCGGGCCCTTAGCTGGTTCCAGGGGAGTTTGTCCTCCTGCCCCCTCCATGACAGGCTTCTGCTCCTTCCCGGAAAGGGCCGGGCTGGGGGCTTTCCTGTGGCCCGGGAGTCGGGCGGCAGGTGTGCAGTCAGAGCCTTGAACATCTGGATGGAAAAGGAGAAGCCACTCTCCAGATGTGTTCATCACCAGCTTAATCGGCAGCCAGTCAAGGGTGACAGCCCTAAGCACTGAGAGCTATTTGTGGACTTGGCCCCTCTGGGGAGGGTTAAATCGGGCTCTTGGTGTCTTGGGACAGCTAACATGTTATGGAGTCATCAGGAGCGTGATGGCTGGAGGACCCTCCAGTGTCCGTGGCTGGAGGGCCTTCCTCGGGATTTTGCTGAGTTTGGGTAGAAGATTTCCTGGGTCACAAATGGTTTCTGACCCAAACTTGCACAGGTAGAGGAGTCAGAGAACTTTCTTAAAGTGGCTTGTCTGGCCACCAAAAGCATGTCCTTAAGTCAACGGCAGGAGGTGGAGACCCCTGGAAGGCTCCCTTGCCCAGAAATATCTTGCTCCCTGGCCTCTCTTCTCCAAGGCACCCTGAACTCTGTGAAAAGTGCATGGCCTGGTGAAAAGCTGACCCCTGCGGTGATCGCAGCCACAGAGCAGCAGGGTCTGCGTGAGGAGGGAGGACGGAGCACTGGCCCTGGCTGTCGCTGGGTGATAGGGTTGTGAGCTCTAATTTTTTTCTCCTTTTCCCTATTCCCCACATCTGGTACAATGAGCATTACTACTTTTAAAAATAAACTTTATATTTTGGATGGTTTTGAAATTACAGAACAACTCTGAACATAGTCCAGAGTTCCTGCCCATCATCGCTCAGCCCACACCAGGTTTCCCGTATTGTGACCCTCTTTCGTCAATAAGGCATGCTTGTTGCCACTGCTGCATTGATACTGTATGTACACTATTATTAACAAAGCCCACATGTCACTCAGATTTCCTCAGCTTTCCCCTAATGCCCTTCTTCCGTCCCAGGATCCCATCCGGGCTTCCATGTTACCTTTAATCCTTAGGTCCCTCTCGGCTGAGACAGTTTCTCAGATTTTCTTGTTTTTGATGACTTTGACAGTTTTGAAAGGCATGGGTGATGCATCTTGTCGAACGTTCCTCAAAGGGATTTGTCTGATAGTGTTTGCGTGGCTGGGCTTGAGTAACATGTTTTGGGGGAGGAAGACCCCAGAGGTAAGGTATCACATTGATGTTGACATTGATCACCAGGTTTCTCCATAAAGTTCCTGTTCCCCTGCCCCCATACTGTCCTCTTTGGAAGGAAGTCACTGTGCACAACCCCCACGTGAGGAAGGGGGGGTGCGCTTCCCCTCCCTGAGGGCAGAGCAGCCACACAAAGTATTTCACATTCTTCACAGTAGGTTCGCCTGTTCTCCTTGTTTATTATATAAATAAATGATTGATTTACATTTTTATCAGCAGGGACTCATGGATGTTTATTTTTTACTTTAGGTTATAATCCAATGCTATTTTATTTATGTGGTTGCTCAGGTGTGCTACTTTTTATATTGGAAAAAAAACACACGAAAGCAACCTCTTTTATTTAAAGGACTCTGCAGTGAGTGCAGATGCGTTCTCAAACGTGTCTTCATTTTCTGTGCTTGGCGCCAGGCCAGGATCCAGGCCTGACTGATTCATGGCCTGTGCCCTTCGGGGTTCTAGTCTGTCCAAGAACAACTGTGATTGTGGCTGTGATGGATGACAGCGATGCTTGGTGTGGGGGCACAGGGATCTTAGCTCAGCCCTGGGTAGAGGCTGGGGATTCAGGAAAGGCTCCTTGGAGGAGGCCTTGGTGCTAAGGATGAGCAGGACTTCGCCTGGGTATGTTGGGAAAGAAAGGGTATGTGGGTGGAGGGAAGGGCTGAGCAAAGGCTTGGAGGAGGGGAGGCCACGTGCTGATTGGCAAAGCCCGGGAAGTTCATAAAGCTGGGTTGGAGGAGGGGTGGCTGTGAGGTGTGGCAGGAGAAGCCAGAGAGGTCAACGGGGGTGGGACTGGACCAAGTCCCTTGCTTTTTCAGGCCTTGTAGCTGAAATGATAGGCTTCTGCTTGGCCCAATTCTTGCATTTTACAGGTGAGAAAACAGCGGTCCTGGAGGGTCCCTGACTTGCCCCAGGTTGCACAGGGAGGTTGGGCAGGGCCTGCCCCAGGCCGCCAGGACTGGCACACAGAAGGTGTGTGGAATTAGCTAGCGAATGAACAAATGAATTCTTCACCTGGCTCGCAGGCCAGGGGTGGTCCGAGGATTTGGAGGCCCTTCACTTCTTTATGGTCCAGCTCACAAGGAAGCTTCCCCCTCCAGGAAGCTTCCCCCTCCAGGAAGCTTCCCCGCCGATTTGTCCTCCTTAGAATTCCAGGGGCTCCTCTCTCTGCTCCCCTTCGGGTTAGGGAAGATCACAGACTTCTCTCTATCACTTAGTCTTGATGCGGCCTTGAGCAGGTAG